CGTCCTACAATCGCTCGTCAGCCGATCAGTCCCACGATTCAAACCGCTATTTATCGAAAGTGTAAACCCTTTCTAGCGGGGGGCTCCTGTAGTGACTCACGTTTATCACGAGAACACGACTGGTTTAATAAAAACAATTATTATTATAACCAACTGTACCAGTGTTTGTTTTAACGTGCTTTTGTTTGACTGTGCTAATGACAGCTATTTTGTGCTTCCATTCTTTCTCTTACACTTTGATTGTAACTTCGCGCGGATTCGGTTACGTTCTGTAACCAAGCTTGTATCCTGGCACGATCTCGGTATCCTTTCGATGCCACGAGATCGCCAGCTAATAAACATCGACTTGGTCCATTAATTGCCTTCTGGTATTCGGCTTCTCGGGGATTTTATGGAGTCATTTGGAACGAGCTTCTTACGCCTTCTGATTCGCTTGGCACGTGTTTCTTGGTAGCGGTGTTCATAGTTAATCTCAACTCGACGCCACGCTACAATTGGTAATCCCAATTCGAATACAATTGGTAATCCCAACTCTTCTACAAGCTTATCTAGGCCAAGCTACACTTAACAATTGATCATCCAACATATAAACATGTGATTAAATAACCGACTGGCACTTAGTCACTGTTTTCAGCACTGTATTTGATAGCAACACATAATCCCATACTTCCAGCTTCTTTCTGAACCACTTCCATTTTTCGGTTGTTTATCCACTCATATCTTGCTTACACTTTTTTTCTTCAACATATTAAAATGATCTTGCCTAATAAATACCTTAATAAAAGAGAATTAGACTGAGTAGTCATACATTAAATATTCCTTCATGGACATTGTCTGCTCTGTTTCTCATCCTTTCTTTTTCTTGCACTCTTTTTCGGCCCCCTTGAAATATGACATTGAAAACAGATGTGGAACGAGTGACTTCGTTCTGCACCTTCATTAAAGCCTCAGATATTCAGAGGGATATAAGGTTGCGGTTTCTAGTAGCCCCTAACTTCACATGGATCTATTCTCGACCGTTGGTTACACGTCGCAACGCAGCCTTCAAAGGGCGTGCCAACTGTGATATTGACAATAAGATTCTTACTAAAACCATCTGCAATCATATCTCATAAAATATCAACCCAGCTGAGTAATTTACTACAGTGAAAATTGTATCTTTTTTGGTAACTTGATCTTGCCTGTAAACTGGCATGCGTCATGTAACAAACATATATTATTACTTTTATTATGTCACGAACAGCAACTAATCAACAACATGTTTGGTGAGTTTTTCTTTTAATCCCCATAACAATTGATGGTGTTGTACACACTGAGCCTTAGAAGTACCTTGGCTTACGACAATGAATCACCCTTATCTCCTCCATCGACACCACATCTCTAGACCGAGGATCGTTGACTGATTGTAAAGAATCATCTGCAAACATAAACTGCATGAGCATTAAAAAATAACTTTTCGCCCACCAGTTCATAGTCAGAAAACTCGCTAACCCTACGAGTGCCGCTCAACTATGTTCGATCATAGGAAGCTTAGACTACCTAAATAGTTGTGAGTTCCTTTTATTGGTGATCCACTGCTACTAGACACAGAAGCCTGTCAAGCGAAAGCTTCTTCTATTCCGTCCACAAACATTTGAACCATTGATGCTAATCTTGTGCTAAGTACCTCCTTGACCCGTGTATGTAACCTAGAATTAGTTTCCCTCCCTACTGAGAAATTCTGCTGCAGTCAAAACTGGACAATTACGCCAAACAGGAGTTCACTCATGACTTTCAAAAGTTATAAAATAAAGGCGAGTTGTAATAAATTTGACCGAAAAATGCCAGTCAGTGTTCAAAAACTGTTTTCTTAATGATTTTTAAAATACACAATCACAAACTTTCAGTTCTCTTAAACCATTTCAATTCAACGACATACTGTGGCTTGTTTTCTTGAACCTGATGAAACATACTTGCTTAGAAGTTGATCTAATGAAAGAGAATGAGTCTTAGTGACCATACCTTTATTGTTCCATCACAAATGAAAACATGATGGGATTATAATTTGTGGACAAACTTGGAGCGACTCTAAAGTGACCCCACTAGCCGGGACTAAATGACGACTATAAGCCACCGTGAGAAATAAGGATTATGATTTGCAGTTGATGGTTAGGGTTAGGAATCAGGTTCAGGGTTTTCATTACGAACTGAATATATATGTGGAACTTATGATTTCGTCCTTCACCACCAATAATACTTCCGAAATTCACCTGCTGTGGCTACCAAAAAGCGCAAAATGATACGTTAAAGTTGTCATCTTCAAACGACTGCTCTGGACTTAAATCCCATTCATTCTCGACCACCAATAGCTTGTCGCAACGCAACCCCCATCAAATCTCACATTGGACATTAAAGTCTTACTACCATTAATATTCCGATGTATGAAAAAATTATCCTCTGTTTACGCAACAAACTAGTCTTGCAGCATACCAACGTATTTAAGTAACTTTTTAACGTAAAACCTGTAGCATATGTCACAGTTTGATCTTGTCTGTAAAATGACATGCCTCATTTTACATATTCTTATCTAGGAATATTTATTATTATTACTAGAGCATTAGAAACCTCCTAATAAATGCAGGATACTAATGGTCACCAATCATACTCTATTCATTGGATAATTTCTGAAGAATCCCGATATTACACTTTCCACCATTCAAAAGAACTTCCTCAAGTATCCCTTTTCACTCGCGTTCTGCAGTGAATAATCGGTACTCACTCATGAGGCTCTATCTAGAATACTTGGTAGCTTGACTTTGCAATTATTTGAAATTGTTTACTATTTTTGCCTGATATTTGACCTTGAAAAAGGCTCTTGAGTTGTGTCCTCATACCTTGAGAAAAATACGGCTTACTTGGAGTGAGTTGGAAATAAGTAAATGAGAAGGCAACCCGACTGAAAAATATATCGTCCTCAGATTTCTGAGAGGCCCTTAGTTTACACCTAGTGCAGTATGAAAAGACAAGAAGAATACTACCATGATGCATCATGCAGTTCACAATCCTCTCCACTTTAATAGATCATTGATACGCTACAGAAGTTATTCGTACATTAAAAAAATCCCATCGAGATAAGACACGACAAAAGTTGCATAAAAACCCCACCAAGCGTTTTGATGTTTGAATAAGCTATAGAGATAGCATCAACTGCAAAATCTTTGAAGGGGAGACTGTAGTGTTAGTCATTAATTTTAGCCCATAATATATCTTATTCTAGTTTTCGGACATCCCATTCTATTCATTCTACTCGAGTCATATTTTGACCTTGTTAATTATTCGCTTATTAGCCTTGGCTGTTTTCACATGAGCGTATATGTGTGTACACTTCATGTCCCATGACTCATTGTATGTCTGTAGCTTATTTTGTCTGCCTATAAATATTGAGTAACACTTGACAAAGATGGGGTTGGCTTCCCAGCCATCTTCCATACGTGTCAAAATTGCTTTGTTATGGCTCTCGCTCGCTTAGCATGGGAACGGGCATCCACAAGACCTCTTAGGTACTTTAAGTAATACTCCTTCATCACATCAATGAATAACAAAATTACTTTGTGTTCCATCTTCAAGGGGAAACATAGTAAGAATAATTTTTCTCCGTAACTGAGGACGCACTCGAACTACCTATATCCAGATCTCAAGGAATAATCAACTCACTTGTTCAGCCTAACGATAATTTCGTGAATGCTTTTGCTACAATACAATATATACTTTTAATAGAGAAGGTTGCAAAGAAATCTCTGTTTTACTGCCTACGTGAATCTGAAACTACATAGAGAACAGTGTGTTTTGTATCAAAGTAAGTAGAGTGCAAGGGATTGGATAGTTTCAATATCAAGAGTTTCACAAGAATCAATCTCACATCCACTTTATTCATGATCTTTAATAACGACCTGTTAGATGTAATTGACTCGACTGAGTTGATTTTTACAGACGACGCAGATATCTGGAAGTTTGTAAAAAGCAATATGGGACTCATTTTACTTTCAAAAAGACATTACAGAAATAGAGGAATGGGCAGCTTTCAAATGATTAAAGCTTAACCCGTAGAAATGTCATGTTATGAATATACTGCCTCATTTGATATAAAACCTTTACGCTCCCTACGGAAATTCCCTCTCGGTTGACTCTCCTGATTTTCATCTCGCCCGTTGAACCACTAAGATCTAGGAAACCGGCTCAATTATGTGAGGGATGCATCCAAAGTTGGACTGAACTCTCAACTTTATGCTAAGACAACTTGACGCAATCATCTCACAGTTGTTCCTAAAACTGTTTGAGACATACGCACGGCCTTAATTTGAAGTGCATAGTGTCCTTGCGTCTCCTCTATTCTGAAGAGATATAAATCTATTAGGACAAATACAAAGACGGGTAACCAAGTAGTTGATAAGTCAAAAACAAAAATCTTACGAGGATAGACTCCAACACATGGGATCACTAGAATCATTATCATTTTCGCTTTCCCTCTTGTTATTTCAAGTCCATCTTCTCACAATGTCTGCATTACCAGTTAACCAACGTGTTCGTTCATTCCTGAAACAATCACCTGAGCACTCGAAGTATCACTTTGTTATTTTCACATTAAAATCAACCCACCCACCTGCTTAGTAGTGTGACAGCTCTTAGTACCCAGGATCCTTTCATTTCTGAGACATAATCGCTCACTCAAACTATAATGTATGGGAACTCACGAATAATTATCAAACTGACTAGAACTGGTGCAGTTGAATTGCTTGGTTATAACAGTTGAACATTGTGAATTACCTGAAACTGTATGAAAACAACATGTAGCGATCTCAAAAAAAAAACTAATCGGCGTATACGAGCCTGTGACAAAGATAATAAAGATATATTGTGGTTACTTGTTGGGTTTGAGTGCATTAATTTTGCCAACCCTGTAGGTTATTAGTGTTTGGCACGTTTTCAAAAGTTAATGGGATGTTCGACAGGATAATTCTTAAATGAATTTTTTATCACCGACTTTGGTTTTTATTTTCGGTATTTTACCTTTCCTCAGTGATACAAGTTTTTAGCTCTTAATTGCTGGTCCTTAAAATTTTCCATTTCTGAGTACCCATGGATTAAAGGTCTGTGAAGTTTTTAATTTGATATCTTTAGCCTGTCGTGTTTGGGAGAGAGACTGCGGAAAGCCTAATCCAAAACATATACAGCTAACATACATCAAGTTTCTGTACGGGGGTTGTACCCACATAATCGGGAATTTGGTTATATGTGGTCTAGAGAAACTTGGTATGGTACCATATTGACTAGTGTTTGATTAAGTAGAAAATGGATCCGATCCTGATCTTTCTTTTCTTGAAAAGATTGAAGATGTGTCTGGTTATGTGTACATTGGTCAAAACAGCGTTAAAACGATATCATTACCTTCTTTGAAAGTTATTCGTGGCGAACCAGGATATCGTATCATGAATACTAGTGCTGCACTTGTCATTAATCGAAACAGTCTTGAAATCCTAGATTTGCGGAGTTTGACGGGTAAGAATTTTGTTTAAAGTGTCTTTGTTATTTTATGCATACGTCTTTACCATGCTGATGATATTTCTACTCCTTGTGTCTACGTGAATCTAACTTGAGTTTTCCACTAATTTGTGTTCGGAATCCAAGACGAGGATACAAGTCAAATAAAGTGAAGAATTTACTTAAGATAAAGCATTCTGTTCTGATAAATTCACAATTGCTAGGAGCCTCTGAATTTTTCACACGTACATTGAAAAAAAGACAGGTGTTAAGAGTTAAAGACTTGCAAAGTAAACAAAATGAGTGAAGTTAAGACTTTTACTTGTATGCTTATTTGAAAATATGTCGAATCTGATGTACCTTCTCTGCTTATTTTTCTTTCCTTCGTATATTTGTACACTTAGCTCTATTCAAAGTACTTGCCTTTACTATTAAATATGTATTAGTATTACAGAAATGAAGTTTATGTTATGTTTTGTATTAAAGCTTATTTTAATCACCGTTTGCAATTTTTCATGCCTAATTTGTAGTTAATGGTCAGTATGACACACTCTCTAAAATACCTAAGTTGCAGAAATTAATTCTCATATTTAAAAACTGGGATGGAAACTAAAACTTAAAACGTCATACTGATTGCCGTTGGTTAAAAGTACTTACTTCCTGACTGACACTGGATTGTATTAATTTGTGGCCTGTTGGGTTACATTTACTGCTATTACCCTAAAAATAATGGTCGTCCTCTTGCTTGGTCACTCTTTTTTAACACTCCACATTTCCTTAGATCTTATTGTGACATTTATAACTAGGATCAAATGAGGGTTATAAACCAGTGTGAGGAGTTATAATTATAATTTACAGTTGACGGTTAGGCTTGGGAATTAGATTTAGGGTTTTTGTTCCGAATCGACACCAGCTTTAATGTCAAAACTCTATTTAGCCAAATGGCTAGGTAGATTTCGCACCAAATTTTGAGACTTGTTATCTTATATATTTACCTGATTGGTTCGTCCATAAATTATAGTCTCACCTAAATTTGGTTCGTAACCACTGGCCAAAAGAGAAGCGTACAGTAATAAACAAGACAAGTTCTCTACTGTTTCTTGTCGTTTGTAGATACTGAAACTGCCAAGTTCTGTATTGATAGCTTTTTATGATAGGACTTTATTCCTATGGCAGATATAAAAGCAGTATCATCGAACCTTATTTGAGGGAAGGAAAAACCAAAGCATATTGTTTTCGAACGTTTTCATCATAATAAGCTACAAACCCTGGTAGTCACACCGTTTTAATTGAGGAACAGAATATCTGTAGACAAGAGATGAATAATTATGGCTCACTATTTACAAAAACATTTCGTTTAGTTAGATCTCTTCTGAAACATATTCGACAGCATAGGTCTCAAGGCAATAATTTTATTGCTTAAATGACATTTGTTGTTTTCTATCCGTTTCAGCCATTCAACGCAACGATATTGTGGCGCTAAATAATCAGTTTTTGTGCAACTTTGGTTTCACGGTTGATTGGGTACAGATTTTTGAAGACAACAGTAAGCAGATGTTTATACCTGATAGAAAAGAAAAGACAGTTTCTCACGCCGGTTGTGATATTGGTGAGTGCAATGTACCTTTTTATTTACTTATGATTGTTGATTGGCTTGTTGCTTGACGACTGTATGACAAAATCAGAATATTATTGCCTATTGTTGCGTTGTAACCTATCAGTTTTACAACAGATTTTTATTTTACTTGGATAAGTATTTCAATATGATTCTCAACTGTATCTTCACCGCTTTTGTTGCTTTAATTTTCCCAGCTATACGAAAATACACTGACGGTAGGTAATGCTTGCTAATCATACAGAGTGATTTGAATGATGTTTACCTGAGGAATCAAAAATATTTCATATCTGAAAGTCTGTTTTTGGTTTTGCCTGCAATTACACAATTTTATTTTACAGTACATAATTTTAATCATGTTTCTTTAGAAAAAACAAATATGGGTTGAAAATATTTTATTATATTTTTTTGCACACCAAATCTTAAGCCTAAATGCACAGGTCTTATAAATCGTGATTTCAAGGCTCATCGGCTTGTAAGCATAAATTTGGTTGAACATTCTGAAGTAATTACTAAAATGTTTGGTGAAAAATGATAAGTCAGAGCAACCTAAACAAATTTTGTGACATAATTTTAATATTTCAGCCATTCGTGGTTTTGGCTACCATTATCCTGAAAAATCTTGTTATTGTGATAAAACCGCTGACAAAACCCAATCTTCATCCCTTTGAGCGAATGTATAGTTTTAAGCTTTCACAAGAGATTAGGTTTCTTAGAACGAACTTTGGATAATTGAAGAATCATGTGAGTTCAACTTTCATTCTCATTCGAATTGTCCAAAACAACGTTTTTTCAAACCTGGTGAATAAATTTCGCTCATAGAGCTGCACATTTTGTTTAAATTTCAATATCTCTAGACACTGTTGTGCATGAAGCAGTCCATTTATATTGTATACTGGAATGATTAAGGGTAAACAGTATTAGATAAAAACTAAAATACCAAAGGTTTTGTCGTTTTTTAATAATTTTCCTTTTATATATAAACTTGTCTCTTATCTTGATATTGCATGAACCATTCATTAAGCAAACGCATGGAATTGGACGTTTCTGGTTCAGATTACATTTTTTTGGGTTTGTCCAGGGTGTATATTTCACGTACACTGGTGATTGCTTTGAAATACAGTGCGACGGACGGATTGGTAACTTATAAGCTTTTTCAGTGCTTCTTGGTACGTCTTTTATTCTAGCATCTACAATCTTTAACTTTGGAGCTCCCACGATTCTCAGTTTCATATTCGGTCATATAAATATATTTATTAACCCCTTTAGCATTCTTATTATCATTTGGATCACATTATACAAATGTTGCTATGGTTTAACGAAGCTATGTGATCTTCATCCTTAGAATACTAATTTTATGTAGTTGAACCGATAGATGTGGAATGCAAAGCCCCTGCAGGACATCAAAATTATTTCGCGATTGTTTAGCCACAGTTAGCTTGGTTTCACATAAGTTGATTCATAAACAAAACATTAGTTCTATTAACTCGTAAACATCGGTAAAATATTAACCTTAATTAAGAAGACTTAAGTTATTGAGGAAAACAAAAGTTGAAGTCTTTATTTCGACAATGATACCGCTACCTATCCCTTGGCCACTTTGATCGAACCAAAATTTTCAGTTTAATGATATTCGATGTAACGAGCATTTTGGGAGGAAATAATTTCCAAGGAAATAAGTGATTACTTGATGGAATGTCAAAAAATATTACGTTTTACGTTAGGTCAAAAGGATTCTTTCAAAGTTTACTAATTTATGGACAATTATCATGAATAACAGAAGTCACTTTTAAATTGTTGCAGTTAACATCAACAAAATGACTGTATTTTTGAAAAGCATTCTTTAGGATCAGCATAACTTAGTCTTTCTATGTTAAAATAAGGTTAGCGTGGTCTAAAAACGATGATATTATTTCTTTAGCCGCTTATAATTTCCAGTACGATCTATCACTTTACAGCATTATTGACCTAATTGCAGATTCCATAAACAAAAGAATCATAAGCAGAGTTAGGTGTGAGGGATAATACGTATGTAAAAAATAACATTTATTAGAAACTTTTGTCACAAAATTAAGGATGAATATTCACTAAGTTGTTACATTTGGTTAGACTGTAACTATTTGTCTTATCATAAGTCAATGTTTATCTAAATATCATAAAGTATCGAAGAGTGTTGATGACAAAATGTTGTCCTCTAAATATTACCCCTCTTAATTTAACCAAATGCACCGGCAGATTGTTAACCTTTGTTCATATTAAACTGGTTAAGGTCAAGGGTTTCCTCCAAACTACTTCTAACCATTTAATATCATATATCCATTTACATGTAATATGCAGTACCCCTTCTGTTGCCAGAATCTAATTTGTACAAGCTTGTTTGAAGAAAGGTCCATTAAATTTAGGGATATACCAGTGAATTATGTAAAAGAAACTCACATATCTTTAAAGAGTTTACGATATCAGACTTTTTTAAACCTATGCAGAAAATCTTACGGCAGCTATGGTTATGAAGCTTTGGTTTCCTCAAAACGTTTCAAGCCATACAATCATTCACTTTCGTTTCACATGATTCGGTTATTACGCATGAGTAGACAAGTTCTGGTTAACGTGAATATCCGAACATTGGTTACGTAACTTTTGAACTTGTAATAACTAGATTGAGGTGATTTTTAGCCCATGGTTAGGGTAGCTGGTCTATAGCATCAGTTTAATATACCTCGCTGTCTTGAATAGATGTTGTGACGTGTGACTGCAGATAAGAGTGAAGCGTATTATCGATCGGATCAATGGCACGAAAAACACGTACGAACGACCTAGAGTCCTGATTGGCCCTGCTTCGCTGTCTAGCCCAGCCAGTTGAGTCCAGAACACAAGTCTCAGCCTCTGAGATATGAATCATTATATTTCAGACATGCTCTGTTTATATACCAATCAAACAAACCACTTCGTACCATAAAATAGAAAACAACATTTGTACAATATTTAACAAGTGAAATAAATACTGACCAATAGGGAATGTCCATTTAACGTCCAAGGACACCATTAGACTTAACATGATAATTATTGATATATTTATCCGAATATCCTAATACCTCCCTTTTTTTGAAGATCCGGAGTTGGTGTCCGGATTTTAAAATTTTTCTGCGTCCATCCTACCCCGCGAAATAGTGTTGGGTCCTCATATCCCCAAGTTACAATTAATTCGACCTTATTTAAAACATGTTTCCCGCATTGAGTGTAGAATCCACTAGAAATGACTAGATGGTAATGAACGATTTTTGATTTGAGGTCAGAGTTTGGTTCTTCTGAAGCATTATTTTCAAATTCATTAAGAATCTCATCAGCGGATAATGGGTCATTAGGAAAATCAACATCAAACAAAATTACATTAGATCTTTGACAATCATTTGACTCAGCCTATATATTTTCCTCATTTTTGTAAGAAATTTCATCAAAATTATGTGCATTATTATCATAACCCATATCTGGTACATTGTCATTAGAAACTGGATAAGTTGATTCAATATAAAGGATCGTTTTGAGGAGGCGTCATTTAATTATTCTAAAAATAATATGAATGATTTTTGATTCTTATGTTTCGATTCTTTTGGCTCAAGTAGTAGTAGTCAACAACATTTTACCAATCATCCCCAACACCAGCGTAATTTAAGTTATGGATTTATCTTATATGGCAACCAAGTGAAAATATATCTAACTTCATTGGTCCAAGCATAACTGATTTCATAGTCTTTCCAAAAGGTTGTAAACTTTTAGTTTTGAAAACAGTGATGGAATTTATTGGAACAGCTGCGTTTTCGTTATTTTAGTGATATATATATATATATATATATATATATTTGAAATGCGTGCATCATATTACTGTTACGTTAACAACAGTTTGTTGACATTCGCAACAAGAGTTTCAGTTTAAAAAAGCTTATTCAAGTCTAGTTTTAAACATTTATGCCTTTGTTTTATCTGATTATCTGTTTCAAACTATTCGAGATTGAATACCCTAACTTTACGCCTCAGTTTGGTAAAGTAGAGTAACCTCAACAATTATTAGGGATCACTTTTGTATTTTTACAGTTTGTGTGACAGATTATTTATATTAAAATAATTTTTCTTTTTTGCTTTCAAACGTAAACTGGTGTCCTAAATACTCCAATTTTTTTCATCTAAAATTGCATCAGGAATTCTTATCGTTGAAAAAAATGGAGAGCTAATTCACCTTTCTCTTTCAATCTGTGGTATCACAGGTGTTTATGGATTAGTGTGTGTCAGTTCATGCATGATTTATCGTTTATTTGGTCATTAGTATTTATCAGGATTTTCCTGATAGGTGTTTTGAGTTTGTATGAGCTGACCAGTGATACCTATCTTAGACATAAACATAATCATTGCTCCTTCAGGTATCATTTAACATTGAAATCAAGAATTTCATTATCTTCGTTAGGAAAATTAAATCATACTATTGGGTCACAGAGTGGAAGTTCCTGAAGTATTAACAGTTCTTTCAATGGTAAAAACACGCCTTACTGATGATTGGTACTATACAGGTCATATTTGAACATCCAGCAATAAGGCAAGCTCATACCAACGTGAAGTCGTTTAGCATAATCGCCATTTTAACAAGATTGTTTGAATTCTATGGACATAAGGACTATACAAGTCAACAGTCATATATTTATTCATTATCTTTGAAAGGACCTAACTATTCTGATGGGAGATCTAAATGCCAAATTCGAAATAGACAACACAGGATATGAAGATATTATGGGACGACATGGACTGGGACAGAGAAACGAAAATGGAGAAAGACTTGCAAATCTATGTGCATTCAACAAATTGGTCATAGGCGGCACAATATTTCCACACAAGCGTATACACAAGGCTACATGGATCTCATCGGATACTACTACAGAGAACCAGATAGATCATATCTGCATCAACAAAAAATTCCGAAGGACAATGGAAGATGTGAGAACCAGGAG